GCTGATTTTGAGCCGGTTCGAGGTAAGTCGCTTGCCTAAACTTGTGTGGGGGAAACTCCCCTTAGGATTTGGTATTATTGATATTTGAAATCCCTTATACGTGAGGTGACGAGTGTGTACTTGTGCTAATTGTTGAAAATTCGATTTTCATTAAGTAATTATAATTGGGTTTCTTTTCCTGTTTATACTACTTGCAATTTAAGCATGTTGTTAGCTTAGGTAAGCATGTTTATTTGACATAATTGCTTTACTTGCTCAAACTGCCTTATTTGGATTATGTGCAACATGTTAGGCTAGAAATACCTGTTTTACCTTGGTATGGAATTTGAATTGAATTATGTATTCCTCGTGTTGTTGCTGTGTGTTTACTTTAGGACTACGGGACGGTATCCCGGGAGATTCCCCCTGTATGTTTACTTTGGGACTACAGAACGGTATTTCGGGTGATCCTCCTACACATTTACATTGGAACTACGGGACTACACTCGCTAGATTCCCCCTGTACTGAGTATTTATATTTGGGACTACGGATCGAATTTCCGATAGATCCCCACGCATTATGAGTTGGACTACGGGACTGCACCTAGGAGATCCACTGGATATTTATATTTGGGGACTACAGGACGGTATCCTGGGAGATCCTCGGTTGTTATCTCTGTGTTGAGCTATATTCCTTTTCCGTGATTATTTTGTCTTTATGGTAGCTGTTGTTGTTCTTTATCTCATGTGTTACTTCTTACTATTGCACTTAATTATGCCATCTTACTCTATACTGTTATACCTGTATTTCATTTAACCACCTCAGTAGGGCCCTGACCTTCCTCGTCACTACCCGACCGAGGTTAGGCTTGGCACTTACTGAGTACCGTTGTGGTGTACTCGTGCCCTTTCTGCGCATGTTTTTCATGTGCAGATCCAGGTACTTCCACTCAATCTTATCATCCTTGAGGCGAGGCACTTTTATAGAGACTTCAAGGTACATCTGTTGCGTTCGCACACTGAGGAGTCTCTTTCTAATTTCTGTACTAGTATAGCCCTTCTGTATTTTTTATTTTGATAGACACTCCTGGAGTTAGAGATTTTTATGTATTTCTTAGCTTGTGATTCATGGGGTTCCGGATTTTGGAAGTGTTAGGTTGAGATTCTTGTATTGTTATATGCCAGGCGACATTTAAAGCACTGTTTCATTTTGTTATCTCGGTTTTTAATTATTTTCTTTCCGCAATTATTCTTTTTTCTGCATTTGTTAGGCTTACCTAGTCGTAGAGATTAGGTGCCGCCACGATAGTTCACGGAGGGCGAACTGGGGTCGTGACATCGAGCTCGATTTACCATGTCATAGACGAGTCCGATTTTGACTGTATACAAATAGCCCTCTCGTTTTCGAAGAGTAGACGATGAGAAACGACGTGAGCTTCCGATTCTCACTTCGATACCCCGCGAGAGAAATGACAAAATGAATGAAACATTACGTCAATCAAATGTTAATGGCATTAAATGCTTGTCAGTTGCTAGTCGGCCACTCCTTGATATGAATTGTTGTTTGAAAAACTATAAGTACCCCTTTTTCATTCATTCAAACTTTACATTCAAACCTTCTACCCTTGTTCCTTAGAAATCTCTATATTTTCTTGCAATTGTATCTTGGTTTTCTTGAGATCTTTGTAAGAACTTTTGCTCGTCTTCATCGCAAATCATCAAGTGTACTCCTTTAACTTCCTCCTTTTCCTCCCCCCCTCCCCATTTTAAAAGAAATGGCGAAGACTTTAAAAATTGTTCCCCAAAAAGAAACTCCTTATACATTGCGGCTGGCTGTCGAGGAGACCGTTCCATTTACTACTATCGAAGGGCCAGTAGCGGAACCCCCTTGAACACATTCATCCCTGGGGTATGCTCAGTAACCACTGATTTCAAGTTTGAAAAATCTCTTTCCGTACCTGCTGGTGTGAGAAAGTCTCGAGATACTTATGCTCGAGTTGAACTTGGACACAGATCCTAGCATACCTCCCCCTTAGGGTAGAGGAGGTACATATGTCTATTTTTAGGAGTTCGCCAATTCTATTGCCCACTTGTTCTAGGATTGCTCTATCATAAAATTCTATTGGAAGTTGTGGGAGTCTGATCCAAATTGTTGTAATAGCTAATTTGGATTCCCCCGGAACAAAGATAGGTTCTCACCGTCGTACAAATAGGAAGTGGCCCTTCACAAAATAAGGTTCCTCTATTAGAACCTTGTTAATCCTTTTTATTCAAGGTTGAATTTGATAATGAAAAAATTCCACCTCAGATCGATTAGTGTTAGGGGTTCAATGAGTTTCCATAGTTGCACAAGTTTTGCTTGTAGCAACTGGTGAGGGATTTTCCCCCTAAATAGTTTACTATTAAGGAGTGTTTTCAGGGGAGGTAAAACATATTCTTGTCTTTTTTTTGTCAAAAGGATGGGGATATTCCCTGTGTTTAATTCGAACGAGGGAAGGGGGGAGTGGTTTAGCTCATATGATGTGGAGGAAATTAAGCTTCTTTCCAGTAGGATTTTTGTGAAAGAGTTTTTCTGAGGAGTGTCCTCTTCCATCTCAATTTGAGTGACTTCCGTAGGGGGGACTGGTGGTTCAGGTGGGATTTTTAGGTCCTCCGCCGGGAGTGGGGATGTGGCCATTTGGGATGCCGTTTGATTAGGGGGTATATAGAGGTGTGGACTTTCTCTTTCTAAAATTTCTATTCCTTTTTAACAATTTTCGTTTCAAAACATCATCCTCATAACTAATGCTTAACATATTTCAGATTTCAGAGCAGTATTTCTATGGAGAAAATGTAGCAATACATAAAAGGGGTTCAATACATAGTGTTATTCTGTCCCATATAACAGCTACAACCCAATGATACCTTCTGGCAGTTTTTGTTCTTTAACGGAAAGGTACACCTTTCGTACACATTCCCAATTTGATCCCAAGCAAAATCTTTACTTATCTAGTACTCCTACTCTCAACTGGCTAGTGGAGTAACTATTACTTTTCTAGTCACTTTATGGTTTCCATTGCTGTTATCAAAAGTCACCTTCTAAAGGCATCTCCAACCTTTACCTCATTTTGTCCCCAAAATGGGGATTTTCCCATTTTGGGGACAACTTACTCCAACCATTTCCCTATTTTTTTCCTTAAACTTTTTTATATTCTTCCCTCTCTTCTATATTATATTATTATCTTTCATTTCAATTTTATTTTTTAATTCCATTAAACAAATTACATCTTTTATACCATTCATTTTTTGAGATAATTATATATTTTTTGTACAATTATAACATATAATAAAATTAACTTACTATTTTACATAAAAATAATAAATGCACAAAAATTAATTTATCAAAACTATACACCAAAGTTAAGATGTAAAATTAATATTATAAAGACATTACATAAACATAATTAGGTATATATAAAGAGATAAATTAAAAGATTAAATAATAAAATAATAATAAAAAAGTGATGAATAGTAATGGGAGAGATGAATAGTGTACCCCCATATTTGAGGAAACACTATTCATCCCCCATTTTGGGGACAAAAATAAGGGAGGGTTGGAACTAAATTACCCCAAAAATTACCCCATTATAAAAAATGGGGGTAAGGTTGGAGATGGCCTAAGCCAATTGTTATTTTTCATGATATTCTTCTACATTTACCTCCACATTTAGTGCTTTCCACTTTGTCCCACTACCCACATCTACACTTACTTTCAACCTTTGATTCATCTCTTGATTTGTTTCTTGTAGTTAGTGCCCTTTGTTTTGGTCCCACAACCCATATAAATATATACAATTTTCTTTTCATGATGGTATTATATGATCATTATCTTGATTATTTCACTACATATTTATTATATACTATACCACGAAAATATTAAATAATTTTACCTATAAAACGACTTAGGTAGAGGAAAAAAAGTCGCATAGTATTAGAACTCTAAATTTGCTTAGTTTTCATTCACTTCAACACTAAGCCCCCCAACCTCATTTCATGATTCATCTCTTGTCAATTTAATCCCTTTGTTCATGGGTTGTGAATCGTGATTAGTTAGTGAATTACCATCCCCCATGCAAAACTTTATCCTACATATTTATGTAATTTTTATGTATGAACGTATGTTTATTTGTACTATATACTGTCCAGTCTATAACGCTACAGTTGTTTCAATGGAAACGCTAATATTTTAAATGGGTAATGACGCATTGAATATTAGACTAAGAATTTCTTCTTCGTTTTTTTTCCTTTCATAAGAAGGTAACCACTTATTTTTGGTCGTGGGGTCTTGGAATCTTGGCTATGAAGTCAATGATTTAACGGCTTATCTTTAGTTCTGCAAGTCAGGCGGTGTCTTTTCTCTACAAGTTGCAATTCTTAATCCATGTTTTAGTTTTTTTTTTTCATTATCACTCAGAGCTTCACTTAGCAAATTGACTAAAAAGAATTGAAATTCTTTTTTAAAAATGTTTTCTGGTTAGGGCCAGGAAGGAGCTACGTGGCGGGACATAGACAAATCTAGGATTTAGAGTTAATAAGTTCAAGTACATATCCATTTATAGGTTTATAGTTTAGTTGTTTTTGTATTCTATATTGCTTGAGTTAAAAGCAATTGGTTCAAGGTATTGGATCAGCTCTTCTTAACATGACCCAGAATTAGGTTAAACTCATA